AATAATTTGAAGGAATTACCACAAAAATTCCGCAAGAATTGTTTATAATTTTGGCAAATACTTGAGGAAATAAAGGGTGCTGATCACTCCTACATGACACATTCATAGGAGCTGCAGAACAATTTTCTTTAGGGGGCCAGGGGGGACTTGGTGGGACTTGATGGACTACAACTATTTTGCCATGAGTTAAAAGGACAAAACTCAAATCGTGGTCCATAGTACTCATGACCTCCAGTTTATCATTCAGCTTGCTTTCTTGTGATCTGAAGTGAAATCTGTCGTGTTTTCTGCAATTCTGGTGTAGGAATATAATTAATCTCCTCATGTGAAAGCATGGAGCCTCTCCAACAATTTTTATATATGTGATTATTGGGCCTACATTTCAAGTTGATAGGAATTATATATATTCCACAAATATATAGTGTCATATGCATCCAATGCGCAGAAGTATCACATAAAATAGGAAAGGCAGACAGTTCTTGCGCAGTACTTTAATCTCTTAGTAAACATTGTAGTCGTGTCTTAATCTAGCTTGTTTACTATATTAGTTCAACCTTAAGATCGAGTAACTTGATTATGTTTTGCGTAGAAAGAACATCACAATTAAGCTAGCATGAAGCATAGAGTTAGTTTCTAGTACTCTAGAAGATATATTATAGGAATACCATGGCAAAGGGATTGAAGCTTGAGATCAGGTAATTCAACTGAGTTGTATAAGAGAGGTTAGAGAGAAATACCATCTAAACTAAAGGGGAGGGCGAGGTCTAATTTGAAAAGGTGTTGTGGGTGTGTTTGGATAATTAGGTCGGGGTCGAGGATGGTTAAGTCGTGGTATGATAAACAGGTCGAGAGCGTGATTGGCACATCCTTCAAAATTTTTGATTACAGGGGCGGCGCGAGAAAATTTGAACTCCTAACATATTGCTTGAAAATAATTTTAAAATTGCATTTCCCTTGTGATAAAACACGCCTTTATAAGCCTTGTCAATGCCGTATTAGAAGGTGTTCTATTTTTTATCCACAATCTTGATTATTCTGCTTGAAGGTATCTATATCTATCAGCCATCACTGAGTAATTGAATTTGTCTAATGGATACCAAAGAAAAGTTAGTCAGAAAATATGCTTGGTTTTGATTTGTTTTTTATTCCCCATAGATAATTGTAAAACTTTATAATCAAGAAAAAGCTTTTTTTTTTCCAATATGTAATTGCAAAACTTTTTTGGTTATCTAATAAAATTAGTGAAAAACTTTTCACCTTATTGGATGATTCAAGGTACAAGTTTCTTTTGAGTTTATTAGCATTGTCCCACAAGTATGACATTACTTACTTTGGTATTAACATTCACCCCCTAACAGGCCAAAAAAGGACTGCACTATGTGTCTAAGTGTGTCATTTAACTCTCTTCTTTTATTCCTTATTGGTTGGCTGACACAAATGGTTTAATGTTATATGCTTTTCCTAATCCCTCCTAATGTCAATATAATGATATCCAACTGCCTACAAAATGAGAAATCAGCTGATTTTGGGGACCTCTTGAGGCCTAATAAAATGATTGGGGACAGCCATAAAATCAAACCCCTCTTTGTTTTAGGTTTAGGACATGATTAGATCACAAGTAGCATGAGTAGGACCAACCCTAAAACAATTTTGATTTTGCCATCAAAGTCGCTTGTCATTATACCTTATGTTTGCCATTACAAGTTACTAAGATGGTGCAGTTTTTCTAAGAAAATGATTACTCCAAGTTATAATACGGTTTGACATAAAACACGCGTTAGATTTTTTAAAAGATCGGAGAAAGTTAGACAGTTTTGCGAACCTTGCATTATTTATGTCACGGCTAGAGGAGGAAAATGAGTAAAATACAGTTGAGGGGGGAAAAAAAATTATGTGCTCATTCTCATGTCTGCAAAATATCTCCATTCGGAGGCAATTAATAGTGTAATAAAATTTTTTTTCTTGTAAAGAAAGGCATAAATATATATGTGGAAGTTCAATTATAAATGACTATGTTAGGAACAATACGAAAGACAAACGAGAGACCAAAATTGATGTTACAAATAACAGTTGGGGGAAGGATCCTTTTCATGGAGAGGGATAATCCTTAGCAGCAGTTGTTAAGTCAACCATTTTTGTCGATTTTGTTTTATTTCACAATATGTACATTCATTTTTTCAGGATGTAATTCACTTTTAATACAAAAAAAGAGTATAACTCACTTTAAATACAAAGTAAGCATAAAATAAATTTTTATGAATCCCATATATAATGTTAAAAATGATATATATGCAATCTTTTAAATTTTATATTTTTTTGACCAATCATGACCGTTAACCTTTCAGAACGTTAATTGAATTCTGTCCCAGAGCCAAAGGTAGAAGAGCACTCGAATTTGGTTTACGAAGTGCCTCAACAACAGTACTCACACCAGACAGATCTTGATTACTTGACAAGACATATCCAGGCTTACCTTGGCTGCTCAGATCCGATTGGATTGCAGGTTTACTACGAAAAATTCTTGAAATATTTTCTGGACACATTTTAAATTATTTTTTTACCTTATACACGTTACGTCGCTAGAATTTAATTTTTTACAAAAGCTCCCAAAAATTCCAAACAATATGAGCTTTATCCTAGTTTTTTCAGGCTTAAAAGGAACAACTATAGTCACCTTGCCCAAATTACTTTACAATGAGTACACTTAAAAGAAACCATTGTAAGCCACCTCTTGAAAAGCCTTCTTTTCCAAAATAAGAAAAGAAAAGAAAAAAAAAGTGATAGTAAACCCTACGTGTCTGCGGTTGATAGCAAAATTTTATATCGGTTCAAAGCAACTATTTGACAGGTTTCGTAATTACTCTAAAACCAATACAAGAGTCCCATTTGGATCCATTTTAACATCCTAAGTAGGGCTGCAACTGAACCAAGTAGCTCGGCTCGAGCTCGCAAGCTACTTGGTTAGCAGCTCGAGTTCGAGCTACTCGTTAGAGCTTATCGAGTCGAGCTCGAGCTTGGAAATATAATACTCGAGAGCTCGACGAGCTCTATCGAGCTTTTTATAATATATATTTTTATTTTTATTATTGTGAAATATCAATAATATCCTTTATTTAAAATTATATATAAAATATTAATTTTTATTACTTGAGCTTGATTAGGCTTGATTGAGCTCAAATAAGCTCGATTGAGCTTGATTTAAATTAATTACATTTAATTAAACTCGAGCTCGAGTTCCATAAATTGATGTTGAGCTCGAGCTCGAACTCGAATTTTAAAAGCTTGACGAGATCGAGCTTAGTTATTTTGCCTCGAGTAGTGCACTACTCGAGACTCGACTCGACGGCACCCCTAATCCTAAGTGGATCCTATTTAATATGTAAATTAATAAGTGGAGTTTTTATATGTCTACATGAAACTTTTTATTTTTATTTTTATTTTGGACCAGCATGCTAAGTAGTAAAGAGGCTGCTTAGGATCGATATAAAATTTCTGGAAAGCTTTAACCTTTGCAAGTTCTGCGAAGTTTCACCAGAATCGGTGGGGTTCTCTGCTCTGCAAAGCCATTTGGCATTTAAGCAAGCTGTTCGTGATGTGGTGCTTGTGCTTGTTTGGTCCAGTTTGAACTCAGCATGGCCCAATGGCTGGTTTATTTGATGATAAGGCCTTGCCTTTTGAAGAGGGGGACAAAAAAGGGAAATTTGTCCCTAGGGGAAAAACTGTTATAGCTAGAGGTTTAAACTGAGAGATCACGAATGCGTTTGATAAAATTGAAATTTGAAATCTGAATTTGTTAAGTTATTGAATTGTTAAAATATTGAATTGAAACGTCGTATCACATTAAGTGATAAGTAAATAGTTTATTACTTATTTTTTGGAACAAGTTTTGCCTAGAAAATTCAGTGTTATTTAATTAATTCAGATGTTTAAATTTTGATTATCAAATGCATCTAAACATATTAAGATTCAAATCCATTAAATTTAATTGCTGAATTGAGTTCTCAAACTGGTGAAAAAAATATAGGTAATTTGTGGAGAAGAATAGTTCTTTTTGGTTGAAATAGAGGGAATCCATTTTTTTAAATATTTTTTGGTGAGTTTATGGTGTAAAAGAAGTGTGTATGAATAGTAGATTATTTGGGATAATTTTTTGAAAAATTACTGTAGAATTTTTTTTATATGATGATGTATGTGAGATAAGAAGGTACGACACATGTGAAATAAGAAGGTGATTAGAAAATGTATTGATAATACAAACAAATAAATTTTTACTAATAAACCACTAACCAAACTTTTTTTTTTTTTTTTTTTTTTTTGAGTGTATACCTGGAAAAGGGGTTTAAACTTTAGATGGGTCCATTGCCCATTTGTAACTAACGCAACACTTTCACATTATTCTTATTAAAAAAAAATGGCACAAATAATCCTTAACATTTCAGAGCTCACGCCTGTACTAAAAAAATTTGGACCCTAACATTTTCAAAAAGGCATTTTAATCCCAAAATTCCAATTATTATTATTATTATTATTATCATTTTATTTTTTCTTGATAAACTCACACGCATCACATGATTAACGTTTTATGTGGTTCGATCAATTAATCTTATGCCTACAAATATAAAAAAAAGCAAAATTTAATATTAAAAGTAGCAGTCCAGAGCTTAGAAAAATATTCTTAAAACCCAAAATAAATACAATAAGAGACAAAACGATAGAAAATTCAATACTTACGTAAGAATAACTGCTCCATGGTTGGCAGTTGGGGTGAGAAGTTTGGAGGGCAAAAAAGAGAAAAAAAAACACAAGAATAATCGAATTAAATATAATTCACTTGGAAAATTCGGTTAAATCCGACTCTTGCTGACCCGACAGAAATAGGGACATTCTAGTAATTTCAGAATATAGAACAGACAAATTTATAATTATGCAAAGCTTTCTTGGTCGACAACATAATTTACTCGAAACAAATAGGACATCGATCTTTCGTGCCTCCATTTTCTGTCTTTTTTCGAATTAAAAGAATAAGGGAAGTGAAAGAGGAGAAGAGAAGACAAGACCATGAGAAGAAGTAAACAAAACTGAAAAAAATTCTCCACTTCTCTACTTCAGGTTCCAAAATTCAAACCCTAACCTCTCTATCCATGCATTTTGTTCATATTTTTGTGTTTAAATTCGAATTTTGTTTCCAATTTATTTTAATTTAAGTAGTTTTGATTATTTCTGAGTTAAGGCCTTGTTTGTTGATTGGAAATTATCAAAGATTAGGTCTATTGGATTCTTATCGTCCTTAAATTAACTGGTATTTCTATTATTTCAGCTGCTTGATAAATCTTATGAAGTAAGAAAAAAAGAATGAGAAGTTAAAATTTGTTACGAATTTTCTGTAGTTCTTAAGCTGGTATATATATTTTTTCCCATAAGTAAGGTTCTGTTTATATATTTTTATTTTTTTGTAATTTTTTAATATCAAAAAAGGAGTTTCATTTTTGTATGATCATTTCCATTGTTGTTGTTTATTATTATTTTTTAAAATTTATGAGTTTAGTTAACTTTGTAGGATCGGTAAAGGTATGGCTATATCTGATGGGGTTGGTGATGCGGGGCCGGCTATATTGCAATTGCATACTTGGAGACCCTCTGAAAAGCGATTAATAAGAAACCTGTCAGAGTTTCGCAATGGTTCTATTTCTCCATCAAGAGAGCTTTTATTATTGCTTACGTACCAATGCGAAGCGTTGTTGCTTCCTCTAGTTAAAGGTAAAAAGGAATTGCTTGTGTTCGTCGGTAATTATGTTAATTAGCATTTAATGGTTGATCTAATAGTTAATTTCTTTTTTCCTCTGTCAATTGATACTTTTCAGAGCAATCAAGATATAGTAGGGACACTGAAATTAGTCGTTGTGAAGATCTAAAGAATCCTCATTTGGTAGTTTCTGGGTTGGACTCGAGGGAGAATTCGTTAGGCACTTCTGCAGCATTGGACGTGGGCCTGAGTAATGATCCATTAATGGAACTTCCAGGTCCGAGTGGTTGTGATTATATAAGTGATGTACATTCTTTGGCTTGGGGTCTGTGTGGAGATACGAACAAGCAGCACGAAGAGACTTCATTTAGGGAACTGCTTTTTGTGTCAGGCAACCATGGAGTTACTGTTCATGCTTTTTCTAATTCTTGTAAAACTGATGAAGTGTTGAGACCCATGGAAGAAGGTGAGACTTTACAAGGAGGGTGGGTGGATTGGGGACCATCGTTAGATGTTTTGCACAATATGGAGGGTGTAGAGGACTCCAGATTGGCTGATGAAGCCTCTGGGGCTGCCTCTTGTGAGAGCAGTAGTAGTGAAAGGAGCGGACTATGTACTTATATGGAAGCTCCAAAGGATGACATTTCTAGCTTAGTTGCTCCCAGAAGATGGTTGCGTACTTTCTTAACAAAAGTTCAGACAGTGAAGTCTGATGGTCACTTATGCACTAGATTACCGGAGAAGTTATCATTTCCTCCTTCTGCCAACATCATCTCATTTAGCATTTTCAGTGATGATTTATCTATTTTGGAGTTTGTTTCTCATAAATCTCCTGTGCTGACCCAAAAAGAAAGTTGCACCGTGTCAGTTCAAGATAGTGGAAACAGGGAGTGTAGAAATTCAGATGCAGGTTCAACTAGCACATTACAAGGCGCTTCTGTTCCATCTGACTCGGCAATTGGTGGGATTGACAGTTCTTGCAAAATTTTACGAGTTTTTTCTAGCAATTCGTATTGTTTAGTTGGTTTTGCCATAGAAATTATACGGCATAACAACCCTGATGTATCTGGAGGAAAAGAGAGTAATCTTGTAATTGCTGTGGCTAGGCTAGTCAGGTGGGGAATGCAATGGGTTTGCTCAGTCAAGCTTGATGAAGGTCCTGGTATAGTGGAATGGACAGACTTCAAGCTCTCTCCTGGTTTTCTTATTTGTCTCAGGAAATCTGGCTTAATATCTTTTTATGGTCCAATGAGTGGTGAGCATATTGCATCTCTGAATCTTTTGAATATTTGTCGATTACATCCTTCTTTAAGTTCCCTAACAGAAGAAGGCTTAGCTTTGAGACACAATGGATGCAATATGGATCACAAGGAAGATGCTGTATTATCTCATCAAACTGGCAATTTTGCTGGTACAAGAAGGTTTCGGAGTCTTCACATTGTTTCACACTCTGCATTGTTAGGTGTAGTTGATGAATTTGGTGTAGTGTATGTCATACATGTTAATGACCACATACCGGGAATGCGAAAATCTTTTGAAAAACCACTTCCTGATTATCCATGGTTAGGAATGGGAATATTGGCTGGCTGGGAGGTGGCCAGTGCTGAAATTGGCTGTCAAAGGGATATTTCTGATCTTTTGGGATGCCAAAGTGTTAGTAGTTCACTGGACATAAATAAAAGTTTCATGTCTGGAGTAAAGGCAGAAAATCATGATACAAGTGCAACCAGTGAAAGTGATACCAAGAAGCAAAGGGATAAATCTAACTTGTATAAAAGTAGTCAGCATGCTGCATCCCAGGTAATAGATAAGAAGAAGCTTGTTGGCTCTGATTTACCATCAAGTTTTATGAGACAGATATTCCTTCCTACTGATAGATCTAATGAAGATGATATTGTTTGTTTTTCTCCCTTTGGAATCACTCGCCTTGTTCAAAGATTCAACTGTCGTGAAAACAGCAAATTTATTGTTCATTCGAACTTGCTTTTGGACTTTGCTATAAATGATGAGAGAGAGTATAAAAGGCAAGGTTGGGAAGCTTCTATCAAAGAGGCCATTGGTTGTGTTTTCGAGGGTTGTCTATATTTGGTGACGGAGAATGGTCTTTCAGTTGTTCTTCCTTCTCTCTTAGCTTCTTCGAGTTTCTTTCCTCTTGAAGCTATTGGATACCGACATCTAAGTCCTGCTACTGGAACTAAGCTTGAGATTGATGAACGTTTGGGAATTGAAATATCCAAAAATCCTTGGCCACCTTGGAAGGTGGAGGTTCTGGATAGAGTACTGTTATACGAAGGCCCTGTGGAGGCAGATCAATTGTGCCAGGCAAATGGTAATACTTTTGTGAACTGGAATTAACATATTGTTTATTACACATATATTGTTCAGATTTTAAGCAAGTTATACCCTGTCTACATTGTGGTGTTATGAATATTTCCTTTCGTTGGGAAGTACAACTAATTGCTGTGAGTATGATCTGAAAAACATTACGTGTTTGTTTAGATCTTGTATTTTAGAGGAAGCTAGATATCTTTGATTTTTATCATGTTCCCTGAACGGATGGATGTACATGATTTTGTAGTTTTTGAAAATTGGTAAGACCTACTGTAGTAGGTTTGGCAAGTACAAGTGAAAAGTTCACTTAACAAGTCAAACTTTTATATTTTGTTTTAAAAGTCAAGTTTATGGGTAAAGAGTGGAAGTAGAAGATGGAAATGCTCACTTTTCTATCAGAAGATTGTAACATTGCAACATAATAGCTTAAAAGATAGAAGAAAAACATAACTTGTGAATCTGACTTTTGCATATGGAAGATTCCTTAGTTGTTTTGCCAGCTTATTTGGATATGTGCCTAGGAAGTCAACAGTGTGAGTGGTTGTTAAGGAGGAAATGAAATGATATGTGGAGTTTAATCAAGTAGCATTGTGGTGGAGAATGTGCAGAGGGTATATTACACGTATTTTTTTTTTCCTTTTTTAGTTTAAGTGGAAGGCGTCTAGGTTTAAATCTTTTTGCCTTGTACTTGATTCTTGAGTACAAAGATTCGACATTAAGTTCTTTAATACTAGCCATTTGCAATGAAGAGCTAATTCAAAAATTGGAATTATTGATGCAAAAGCCATATATAAGATGTAATTTCAGTCAATAGAATGTAAATCTTGACGATCATGAAATGTGTAGGACTACACGATTTGATATTTTGACAATCATTCTAGGTACGTGTATCCCTACTCTTGATATTCCCCCATTTGCTCTTGCTTGTGATGGACTGCATATGGCCTCGTCTAATTTGATAATGGATGAAAATATATAAGACCCAATGTACACAGTGACTCATGCAGACATCTAGAGGATAATGGTAACAGAATCATACAAATGGTTGGATTCTCCTGAAATATTTTGGAAGAATATATGATTAATTATATGTGGTAAAAGGCTGCTCGGTCTTTATCTCAGAATTCGAGGATTAGATGTGCAACTTGAATCAACACCCTCTGCAAATAACAGCTATTGTCTTTTAAAAGATAAGCCAATTTTCAATTGAGTTTGTGGTAATGAGAATTACCTCACTTTTATTTCTGAAGTAGTGAAGCTTTTGATACGTTTATTTTGGTTGGCTTTGGTTTCAATTGAAGAGTTTTCAGTATCATATGCACTAAGATGAACCTGTTTGTATACATTCTTTGATGTTTTGTGATGGATTTGCATATGTGACCATGTATTATGTCTATGGTTTGTAGCCTTTTGGTTGGTTTTTCACATTGGATAGTGGGAAGGAATTCTGCCTTTAAAATGAGTTTTGCCAAACATATGGTATTCGGTTTTATGGTGGTTGGCTGGCTGGTGGCTGGTCACAGTGGCAGATGGATTGAGCTTGCCGTGAGCCTTTGCACTGGCAGTGATGGCCGCTGGGCGATCCAGTGAAGGCAGTGGAGGAAGAAGGCATAGGAAAGAGCAAAAAAGGAGAAGATGGGGAACAAAATCAAAGAAAAAAGGAGACAAGTAAATAAATAAAAAGGAATGTGAGAATGGCACTGAAAGGTGGCTCATTGTAGGAATTTTTGTGGGTGAACTTTTTGTTTGAGTTGAATGTGTTTGATTGACTTGGTGAACTAGCCGTTGAAATCAACCAGATTTAGTGGCAGTAAATGATGGCCCATCTAAATCCTTTCGAAGTTTTCTATTATCTATATCAATTTTTTTCTGGGTGTGTATGGATGTATAAAATGATGTAGGTTAAAATCATCTATGGGCACTACCATTTTATGCTGCTCTGTGGTTCTGGTCCCTGGTTCCCTGCACCCCAACTAAACTACAAACACTTTAATCTATTGGTTGTCAATATCCTGCATTTTTGCAGTGGCCTAGCATATTTTGTACATTGACTACGTTTTTGGGTAACATTTTTTTAAAAAAATATTTGTATCCTGATAGCTGCTTCTCTTTTTTTTTTGCAACCCAACCAAGTACAAACACCTTAATCTGTTGGTTGTCAAATTAGGATGTTTGGGGTAATAAAATATGTTTTTTAGGACCGAGGTTTATTAGTTACTGGTACAATAGCTTGCCTTCTGAAAGTTTCTTTAAATGCAGAACATGCTAGTTTTTTTACGAGTCAGAGAATGTGTTTTTTACAGTCAAATTAGGATGTTTGGGTTAATAAAATATGTTCTTCAGGACCGAGATTATGGTACAATGGCTTGCCTTCTGAAAGCTTCTTTAAACGCAGAACGTGCTACTATTTTACGATTCAGAATGTGTTTTTTAGTCTGAAATATGCTTTATATGGACTCCTCTTTTGAGTTGACTATGGTTTTCCTAGTTTGTATCTTTTTAACTTCTTTGGGATGCATGCTGCCAGCATGTTTTTGGATGGCTAATCTCTCATTTTAATAGAAAGTTAAGGCTTGAGTAAGTAATGCATTACATAATTGTCACTATTGTTTCAGGATGGGACTTGAAAACTTCCCGAATAAGGCGCTTGCAGCTGGCTCTGGATTACCTGAAGTTTGGGGAAATTGAAAAGTAAGATTCAGTTAGCTTACAGTTGTTCTTGTTGTGAAACTTTATAGATATTGTAGTATCCTCAAGAATGCCAAACTTATGGGAAGTTTAAAACAGAATTCAGTTAAAATAATGATCTGAGGAACAATTTTTTTGGCTCAGATTTTTTTTTTTTTTGGCAGTTTGCTTCACATAGAAAAAGTTTGATTAGTTTTCTGAGGATTTTTGTGCTTTGGAGTTGAACTAATGTTATGTCTGCCATCAGATGATTGCATTTGGTAGATATGATAAAAAAGATTATCGGTGCCATAAGTGCAGCTTATTTTGTTCTGGTAGTTGGCAGTCTTTCCTCGGTACATTTGTTTGTTTGGAAACCTTATAAAGTGGGTCCTTTTTGTTCTCCCAATTGATAATTCAAAATTGTCTCCAAATCTTTTAGAAGCTTTGGAGTTTATGCCATGATTAAGAACTAGGACAGGATAATTACGTTGCTCAATCAGAGCTGGGAAATGAGTCTTTTCAAAGATCAAAGCCTTTCTCTGTCTCTGCCTCTCTCTCTCTCTCTTCCTCTCTCTCCCTCTGTCTGTCTCTCTCTCTGTCTCTGACACGCACACACACTAGAGGTGCATAGGCTTCACTCCTTTGTGCTAGTGGCAGCTGGTATATTTTAAATATGATTATGCTGGTAACTTTTTGCATGGATGTAGAACTCTGTATGCTAAATTAGGATTTTCCAAATGGTAGCCTGTTTAATGGTAATAAGTATGAGGTCTAGTAATTGAAGACGGATTGTAGATCTGCTTAATGCTTTATGTTTTATATTTTGGCTCGGTTATTGCTTAATGTAACGTCATGTTTCTAGCTAAATTTATCTCAAAATGTACTTGCCTTTAATAGATTGTTTGGAGCTTGATTGTGCTTCTTCATTGGTGAGCAGTTCTCTGGAAATGCTCGCTGTTATCCATCTTGCTGAAGAGGGCATCTTGAGATTGATCTTTGCTGCTGTTTATCTAATGTTGGAGAAAGTTAGTAATGATAATGAGATTTCTGCTGCATCAAGGTATGATGCTTCTCTACTTGGAATTTTCTATACTTTCTCTCCCCTTATTCCAACATTTTGGCAGATAGTAAAGCTTAGGACAGAAAGCTTCATCTTTGCATTATTTTTTTCACTCCCTTTTGAACTTTACAAACTGGAGAAGCCAACCTTTCTCTTCTTATGGTCTTTGGTCATTTCTACTCCCAATACGATCTTACTGTTCATTTGTTGTTCCGATAATGTGTGGAGTTATGTTTTTGATGGTTAGATTGTGATACAGGCTCCTTGCACTGGCATCCAGCTTTGGAATCAAGATGATACGCAATTATGGTTTATTACATCAGCAGAAGGAACTTTTGGATCAGAATGTAAGAGATGTCCAAGAATTTCCCATTCTACCTGCAGCAGGTGATGATGGATCAGAACATTTGAGGAGGATGTCAGATATGGCTCACTATTTGGAGATCATCAGAGATTTACAGATGCGACTGACTACCAAATTCAGACGGCTAGGTCATGGAATGGTATGGTTTGTGTTCTGCAGCTTATGCTGAATTCAGGTGAATTGACTTCTTGTGTACTATGTAGAATGATGTATATATTTCCTGATGTTCAAGGTGGATGGTCCGAACGCCTTACAGGTTATGGATGATCTTGTGGAGGATGAATCCAAGATTTCAGTTCCTTCTGGGGATGCATCATTGTTGGCTGCTGCAAGCCATCATGAATCTGTGCTTCCTGCATCTGAAAATGCAGAAAATTTGGCTTTGATCCCCATGGACACATTGAACAATGAAACATCTCTTGTTTCTGAAGGAAGCGGTCTTGGAAAAAGAATTTTTACCCCAGAGAATCCGAAAGATATGATTGCACGTTGGGAATTGGATAATTTGGACCTTAAGACTATAGTCAGAGATGCCTTAGTTTCTGGTCGACTTCCTTTGGCAGTTCTTAAATTGCATCTTCTTCGTTCAAGAGAATTTTTCACTGAGCAAGATACACATGACACATTTAATGAAGTTCGTGATGTGGGAAGAGCCATTGTTTATGAGTTATTACTCAAGGTAAGCCATTAATGCTTTGTAGGTATCTGAATTGAGTTAAAAGAAAATTAGGATTACTTTTTCTGCCCGTCCTTTTTTGGTAATAATACTTTTGGCGCTTTGATGGGTAGGGAGAGACATCTCTTGCTGTAGCAACTTTGCAAAAGCTTGGTGAAGATATTGAATCTAGCCTTAGACAGTTGCTTTTCGGGACTCTTAGGAGATCTCTTCGTTCGCAATTGGCCGAGGAGATGAAATTATATGGCTATCTTGGACTGCGTGAGTGGAACATATTGGAGAGGATATCACTTATTGAGGTATGTGGAACAGTTTAGTTATATTCCTATTACAGGCATTGAGATTTTACACAAGGGAATATTTTTGAGCTGACACTAGGTTGTTTTACGAAAAGAGGGTGTACCCTTGCAGTAGTTTTTGGAACTCATTCAGCACTCGGTGGAATGAGTTGAAGCAGGAATCTTGCAGAAATACATCAGAGGGAATCAGTTTCAGAGTATTGCATCCGCTACATAAGGATCTTATAATTGCATGTGGTGATATTGACGGGGCTGTGTTGGGATCCTGGACAAGCATAAATGGACATCCTGTTCCTCCTGAGGTTGATGATGACAGCTGTCATGCTGGGTACTGGACTGCTGCGGCTGTATGGTCTGATGTCTGGGATCAAATTACCATTGATCGTGTAAGGCATTTGCTATAAATTATTGATAATACTTTATGCTTCCTGATGGGTACTATGTTTTCCCTCTGAAGAGCATAATTTGAGTATATGTATTTAAAGAACAGAAGTTGCTGTGTCTTTTGATCTGGCATATTGTATTTTCTCCAAAGCATTGCATAGTATGAGCATCAATGCAAATGGTTCAAGTGGCCTTTCGTGGTGGCACAGGCTCTGAGATGGGCTTTTTGTTTACATTCAGAAGGGTTAGTGCATAATATAACATGTATCATTTTATTGTTAAAGGAAAGATGAACTTCTGGTGCTGGTTGTTAGAAATGCAGGTCAATTTTGTTTGGTAACTGCTGTAATAGTTTCTACTGATTTGACATAATTCCTACCTTGGCAGGACTCCAGCTAAGCTTTAGGTGTCTAGAGCTGAACTTGTACACCTCTTTTTCTTCTTTGATCCTTTCACAGAAAAGTGCCCCATATAAGAGAAAAGGAAGGGAAAATATGTGGAAGTTTTGTTGCCTCTTCCCTCCCCTGTTGTTAAATAAATAACAGAGGATATTATGCTGTGGTTGCCTTCTTTCTCCAAAGCACTGCAATCTCTTTACTGCTTGTGTTATTTTGTTGCTGTAGCCTTGTCACATTCTGTTTTCTTGTTGTAGAGCAGTTGAGTTATTTATACATGATTGACTAGGTTTTATTTTGACAAATATTTGAATTCAACGATGAGCTAATACTACTCTTTTTGTGCAGGTAGTGCTGGATCAACCTTTTCTTATGGGTGTTAACACTTTGTGGGAATCACAGCTTGAGTACTACATGGGCCACAATGACTGGATGCAGGTTTCAATGCTCTTAGAGGTGATTCCATCATATGCATTATCTGGTGGGGCACTAAGCATTAGACTGGACTCTATGCACTCTGATTCAGTGGTTGAATATGGCCGGGAAATCCCTGACTATGCCAATTACGTATGTTCACTTGATGAACTGGATGGTGCGTGCATGAATGTCCCAAACATTAAGATTTTCAGGTTTCCAACCAATGATATGTGCTCCATGTGGCTAAGAATGCTTATGGAGCAGCAGCTTGCTAAGAAATTTGTGTTTTTGAAGGATTATTGGGAAGGGACTGCAGAGATAGTGCCTATTCTAGCACGGTCAGGTTTCATATTTGACCTACATGGTTCTTCAACCCTGGAGGAGTCGGGTGAGGGCTTGACAGAGTTTGTGCTTTCAGTTACTGATGCTACATTTCATCCCGGTGCTATCCTTGCTTTACACAAACTTATGGTGCAATTCTGTGCACAATGTAACCTCCTGAATCTCTTGGATATTTATTTGGACCACCACAAATTGGCAGTAGATCAAGATTCTCTTTCTTTGGTGCTGGATGCTGCAGTACGTGGACCCAAATTAACATTTGGGGTATTATTTATGTCATTGCACAACTTTGTTGCTAAGCTTTCATCCACATGAACTTTTCAATGACTGTTAATTTCTTTTTTGACCATTTAAAGATTAAGAGCTGCACTAAAGATATTCAGATTTTAGGAGTTTGGTTTACTATAGAAATTGTGCTTTCATGAAAGTCTAGCAAAATAAGTTCTCACAATCATGAGGCTGACAGGGCTTCTTTTCAGTGTAGTAAAAGTCACCCATATTAAAAGAGCTTTTGCTATATATCCTTTTCTTTTCAGAGCGTGGGAATTGATGAAGCTAATATCATTCCTTATCATTAACGTATTATTAAGATTCCAATCTCATTTATCGTAACTTTTAAGAACCATGTGGTAATTAATGATGGAAAATGCTCAAGTTTTCTTGGAAGCATATTTCATAGTTTGATTGTTATGGTTTGTTAAACTTCCCACTCCCATCCATAATGATACCGTTATGTTTGGCTTTCAGATTCTAGTTATATTTAGCATTTTGACGATGTGTTTTCTCTTTCTGGCTTGTAGAACTCGTGCTTAAACCCCATTTTGCATTAAGAGGAATGGAAGATAATTTCTAGCTGACATCTTAGGTTTCTCTTTTTATCATACTTTGTAAATGTGCCTTTATTCATGCTAATATAGTGAATGCATTGCTTTCCATAGGGAGACAATCAGTGGGCAAAATTATTGCTCTTTCAAAGGGTCAAGGGAAAGGAATATGAAGCATCATTCTGTAATGCGCGTGCTGTAGCATCGCACAATTTTCTTCCTGGTAACAATATCGGTGTACTAGATGTTGATGACATAATGCGTACTGTGGATGACATTGCTGAAGGAGCCGGAGAAATGGCAGCTTTAGCAACCTTAATGTATGCACCTGTTCCAATTCAAGAGTGTCTGAGTAGTGGGAGCATTAACAGGCACTTTAGTTCTGGGCAGTGCACTCTGGAGAACCTTAGGCCAGCTCTGCAGTGTTTCCCTACACTGTGGCGCACTCTTCTGGCAGCATGTTTTGGACAAGATCCCAGTTGCAACATGTTTGGTTCTAAACTACAAGGTAATGCAATCTGACCAGATTGGGGTGGTGGGGCATTGGGGTTGGTGAAAGAGGGGATGGGGAGGGGAGAAGAGGGAATGGAGGAGGAAGGGAAAGGGGAGGATAGAGGGGGGAGGTGGCGAGAGAGGTTGGGGGTGGGGGGGGGAGGAGTGAAAGGGTGGTGATTGTTGTGGAGGGAGAAAAGGTTGTGTTGGTTTGTTTTTTGGGTGGTTCTGGGATTTTTTTGGGTATTTTGTGAGATGTTGCTGTAGACTTGTATCTTAGAAACTTTTTTTTAAGAGAAACACCATTACCAAACAGATCCTCTGGTCACCTAATTGTTTGTCTGATATTCAGTGTCTGGTTATTCTGATTTGCTGCACTATTTGAATTGGCGGGAGAACATATTATTCTCTTCTGGACGGGATACTTCACTTCTACAGATGCTTCCGTGCTGGTTTCCCAAGGGTGTACGGAGATTGATTCAGCTATATATACAGGTTACTTGAGAAATTTTATTCTGTCTCATTCTGCTTACGGAGAGCCATCTAGTTAATCTAGATTGTTATCTTTGCTGGCAAAGCTACAGTCATGAACTTTGCAGTAGTCATTAGTAGTTTGTTCTTGAATAAGATAGATGCAATTGTCTTCTTAAATAAGTTATAATGAGTCATCTTTTTTGGTACTTGGATCACTTTTACATGATTGTTGTGTTTGGATAAGTGCATGGAAAAGTGATATTTTTCTACACGTCATGGCAGGGTCCTCTTGGTTGGCAATCCATGGCAGATTTGCCAATAGGAGAATCCTATTGGCCAAGGGATTTGGATGATCCCAATATCAGTGCCATGTCATGGGAAGCTGCTATCCAGAAGCATATTGAAGAACAACTTTGTGCTTCTTCCTCGGAGGTGAGGCGAGGCGAGCTCTTCATTTTCTGTTTTATTGTATATAATGTTCTTGTGCTTTTGAGTTTCCAATTTTGACTTGCAAAGAGTTTCTGCTTAGATCAATAAAGTTTTGGTTTCTGGTCAATTAATAAATCTAACCTTTTTTACTTTCTAAATTCTGAATTGCACATTGGTTATCCTGACTGTTACCATATAGGGGAGGTCCTAATTTCTGGGATTGAGGGCCTCAGCAATTGCCTTCCAGAACAATTGCGTAGGCAATTCATGTTGGAGATCCCACCATTTCGAAATTGTGTGGCAGGAATCGGAAGTTGGGGAAATTTAAAAATGTCATTTGGCCGGGCAGTTAACAATACAGGCTCAAGGAACTTTGTAGTATTAGTTCATACAAGTGTTGTTTTAATGTATGTGTCTGCAGTGTTACTCGAGCAATAGGTACTGACAATACCTAAGTCCCCTGATAGCCAATTGCCATTTCCCTTCTAACTTTCCAGCCCTGAACAGTGAAACTCTCCTATAAGCTTTTCATATTACATGATCAGAAAAGGGGATGTTGTTGGTTACCTGTCACAAAGTTACTAGTCCTTTGTCTTTCATTTGAAATTCCTTCTAAATCAGGGGAAAGGGGAAATTAGTCAAGAGATTGTCCAAAACCTACATACTTAGCTGGTTGAATATTGGATGCCACTAACAAGAATTCCGTAAGGACAAAAAAAAAAAAGAAAAAAGGGAAACATTTTTTTTTTCTTTGGTTCTCAATATGTTTTTATCAGAATTGTAACTTGTATGAAATATCTAGTGCAATTTGAAAATGTTGTGAAATCTTTTCAGTAGCTTCTATTTCAGTTTACAAATGTTAACTGATCCCCAATTGCCTTTTTTTTTTTTAAGTTTCTTGGATTTTTTCTCATCTTAGTTGCTTCTCTTGGCATTAGGAAGCTGGTCTTGGTCTCGAGCACCATTTGCATCGTGGGCGTGCACTGGCTGCTTTTAATCATCTCCTTGCTTTGAGAGTTCAAAAACTGAATACAGAAAAAAGAGGGTCCTCTGGAACCTCAGTACCTGGGCAAACAAATGTGCAGTCAGATTTACATGCACTTCTTGCACCTATATCTCAGAATGAGGAATCTCTTCTTTCAACGGTGTGGATCACTTGTGGTTTGTTTTGTTTATGTAAAAAAGTGATTGCATTTTTAAGTGGACATTTTTTTATCCTTTGTTTGGTTAATGCCTATATCTTGAAGTTCACTCTTCCGCTGTCCTGACAAGTAGTAAGTAGTTTGTCATCAAGGCAGTTCTTGAAGTTTGACAATGTTATCGAATAAAAGTGTTTAAGGAGTCAAGGAGATTGTAGGTCTCATGACATCATTTAAATTATTGGACTTCAAGTATATCATATGCCTTCAATGTTGAGATGCATAACATGTTTTTCCTTCATGCCATAGGAATAGAATACATGCAAGTTTGGCAGGGCTATTCTAATAGTTCTTCATGTTACTAAAAATAGTATGGTAGTTTGAATAAGGTGCTGGATTTTGCCGTGTATGGGCAAACTTTTCTGGCATTCCTTTCAAGGGCCCATTCATTTTTAGAACCTGAAGTCTCCCTACTTCACGACCACAGGATTGATGTTAGTTGGCTTTTAAGTGTAAGCCCAAGTGCGAACTCACAGCTCTGTGGTACCCATTTTCATAAGCAAGGACAAAAGCCAGATGAATTAGTACTTGGGTGTGATCAATTGGTTCAGCTATTTTATTATCCTCGCATAAGCATATGTAATATTCAGATAACAAAACTAATTACATGTAGCGCAACACTTATTGACTCATGATAGAGTTTGCGACTTGTATGTATAGGTTGTGCCCCTCGCCATTTTGCATTTTGAGGATTCAGTGTTAGTGGCTTCTTGTGCTCTTCTTTTGGAGTTATGCGGTTTGTCTGCCAGCATCCTCCAAATTGACGTTGGTGCTTTAAGAAGGATATCTTCTTTCTATAAATCTGGTGATCATGGAAATCAAACAGTGGAACTTTCGCCCAAGGGTTCCGCTGTACATACAAAATCTATTGAAGGAGATGTAACAGAATCTCTTGCTCGGGCATTGGCAGATGATTATCTTCGCAATGAATCTTCCATTTGTGTAAAGCAAAGAGACCTCCAGAACAATGTCACTGGAAAATTGCCAACAAGAGCTCTCATGATGGTCCTGCAACATTTGGAAAAAGCAAGTCTTCCAGTTTTTGGTGGTGGGATGACGTGTGGTTCGTGGTTAGTAACTGGTAGTGGTGATGGAACTGAGTTGAGGTCTCAACAGAAAGCTGCAAGCGAGAAGTGGAATCTAGTCACGGTTTTCTGTCAGATGCACCAGATGCCCTTAAGCACCAAATATCTTGCTTGCTTAGCTAGAGATAATGACTGGGTATGCTCTAGTTTGTGGTCATAGCCTTAGTTTTACATCAATATCTATTTTCCATCGGATGTCACATCTCAAGTATTTTGCTGCCAGGTTGGGTTTCTATCAGAAGCTCAAGTTGGAGGATACCCTCTTGAAACAGTCATACAAGTTGTATGCCTCAAGTCCCTTTTAACTGTTTACAGTTCTATTTAGTAACATCTTATGATTTGCTCTAATACTTTTGATATCTGCTATTTCCAGGCATCAAAGGAATTTAGTGATCCACGCCTGAAAATTCATATATTAACAGTTTTGAAAAGCATGCAATCACGAAAAAGAGTTTTTCATTCACCAAATTCAGATATTGCTGGGCAACAGTTTGAAGTTTTCATATCAGATGAAAACCTTTATGCATCTGTTGAACTCTTTGGTATAATAGCAGAATGTGAGAAACTTAATAATCCAGGTGAAGCTCTTCTCTTGAAGGCCAAAAACTTGAGCTGGTCAATTTTGGCTATGATCGCAGCATGTTTTCCAGATGTATCTCCCTTGTCATGTCTGGCCATTTGGCTGGAAATAACTGCAGCAAGGTGGCATTTATCTCTCTCTTCTTTACTGTATATAAAACAGACTTGCTCACACATGCATTTCCTGATATAAATATCACTTGCTACACTGTCTTTAAGCTTCCATTACTATATTATGCCAATTTCTGCACAGAGTTTGTATTCTCAGGATTTATCATGAATCTTCCCAATGATATTTTTCCATGTGTACTTGGATATGAATTTGATTTAGTATGCTTTCTAAATCAGGGAGACTTCTGCCATCAAAGTTAATGACATTGCTTCCCAGATTGCAAATAACGTTGGAGCAGCTGTTGAGGCTACTAATTCCCTGCCAGTGGCTGCTAGAGCCCATACATTTCACTATAACAGGAAAAGTCAGAAAAGGAGACGGCTTATTGAGCCCATGTTGGAAAATTCATTGTCTTTGACAGCTTTTGATGTATCTACCACTTCTGGCGGTGCAAAGTTTGAAGAAATCATGCCTGAAGAGGAAAGGGGACAAAAAATTGATGAAGATGTAACCGTGTCATCTAATTCTGATGAAGTAGTTAATTCCCTTTTGAGAATGGTCGCTGTTCTGTGTGAACAACACCTGTTCCTTCCATTGCTGAAGGCATTTGAGATATTCCTGCCATCCTGTTCTCTCTTACCTTTTATCCGTGCACTTCAGGTATGTGTAAGTTGCTTTGCATTTCGAATTACTTCTTAGTGCAGTTTTTTGAGGTAAGGCATTAAGGCACCTTTGTTTTCTAGTAAAACTGGTTGGGGTCTGCCAAACCCCTTGCTGTCTCAGGTGGTTTTCTTCAAACCCAAAACAAAAAAAAAAGGTTGACACAAATCTGCTTAGTCCAATTTCTTTCCAATAAATTTCCACTGCCCATAAAGGGAACTTAGCCAGATTTCTGAATTATTGCAGTATTATTTATATTTATATCGACACTGTTTCATTACAGCACTGATTTTTATTTTTCAAATAATAAAAATAAGTTCCAACTCCATATACAACCTGTGTACGTTGCTGGTGCTGATTTATCTTGTATGCTCAAAAGGAAATTGCATCTCTTTCTCATGATGTGGCCTGCTATCCATCTAAATGGCTACTTTTTTCCACACACTGCCAGGACATTTCAGATTTGAAATATTTTTGAAGTGTATCTCTGAACTATTGTATTGGCTTAAATTTTGTAGCACAAAAGGAAGAGTTTCAAATGTGTTTACAGTCTAGCGATCATCATTGTGATGATCTGAATCATTGACAAATTAGCGGGTCTTTGTCTCAGTATCAATAATGATAAATATGTGGTTTTGCATTTGGACAGCTTCATTGTGTTAGGATGATTAATTTTGTTTCTAAATGTTATTCCACTATAGGATTTCAAGCTGCTTAACAGCAATTGATGAAGACACTGACCTAACACTTTATGCAAAATAACCAGATATCGTGGATTGATGATTAGGGATAATAAAGAAATGAGCTCTTTGTGCAATCCATAAACCTTTAACCAGACACGAACTTCTTCAAACTAATCTTATATGAGAAAAAATTGATTGAAAATGTCTCTGTATTGGGCTCAAAAAGTTCTTTGTAGCTTTCATTGGATCTCTGAGCATGAAAATGTAGCTAGAACTTTAATATTTCTGTTTTTTTTTTCTATTATTTGTGTATGCTATAACTTGCAGGCATTTTCTCAAATGCGCCTTTCAGAAGCTTCAGCACATCTAGGGTCCTTTTCTGCCAGAATTAAGGAAGAACCTTCTCAGACACAAACAAATTTTGCAAGGGAAGGACCAACAGGGAGCTCGTGGATAAGTTCCATAGCTGTGAAAGCAGCTGATGCGATGCTTTCGATGTGCCCTTCACCTTATGAGAAAAGATGCTTATTACAACTTCTCGCTGCGACTGACTTTGGTGATGATGGATCTGCTGCAACATATTATCGGCGACTTTATTGGAAAATAAACCTTGCAGAACCTTCACTACGTAAAGATGATGGCCTCCATCTTGGAAATGAGACGCTAGATGATGCTTCCCTGCTAGCAGCATTAATAAAGAATGGTTGTTGGGAGCAGGCACGCAATTGGGCCAAGCAACTGGAGGCTAGTGGTGGATCTTGGAAGTCTGTTATACACCATGTTACTGAAATGCAGGTATTTATTTGCTTCACAAAGCTTTTATTCCACATTAATATCATCTATGATTTTGTTTTTTGCCTATACTTTTTGAACAAGGTCTTCTACCTGCTTGCAGCTGAGATTTGCTTTTCTGTTTTTTTTTGGTCATGGGAGTATCATGTACTATTCACTTAAAACTGCCAAAAACTGGTGAATTGGCTTTCATGGCATATATTGTGAAGCTTTTCCCATTGATTTGTCAAAAGTTGGCATTTAAGCTTTTATTTCTCTCGGGTATTCTTCAGGAAATAGTAAGTTATGTTGCTCTTACAAATGAAACTTGTGGGCTCTACATGACACTAATGCATGTTCTGTAATGACTCTCCTAAAAGTGATTGTCCCAATTCCACCATTTAAGAGCCCTTCATTCCTTTTAGGTCCATCCTTGACTCTAAACTTACTGGATAGCCTGTGGTAGACTAAAGTTGATTTTACTTTTGTTGGATTATCTTGTTTATGTCAAGGAACTGCATGTGTACTGTTTTTAGCTAAAAAGGAGATCTGTTAGGTAGAGAGTGGTCAGAAACAGGGCATTTCTAGGAGAAGGCATGAAAACACCTGACTCAGAATGTTTGTAGCTTGTTGGAGTTGGTAAATTCGATGAGTCTATTTCCAAGAACCTATGTTCTGTCCATAAGTTGTAAGTTATTCATAAAAACCCACTATCCAATGTTGCATTAATTCAGGACCTGAGTCACCTCCTGTGTTATGGTCTGCCATTATTAATTATTATAACCTTATATCTTGAACTTGTCTGTTTCAACAATTCATGTTCTAAAGTACCATATAGCTCATTTAGGTGCCCTAACAAATTTTGCTCTATTTTACTAGGGATCCATTATGTTGCCTGTTATTTTGCATGCCAGCACAAAACTTGATACTTTCAGCTCTCTTCATGACTTAATTGAAGGGTTCCCATTCTTTGTGAAACTGCATTTTCTTTCTAGTATAGAGTTAGATCATGTGTCAATTTTGATGTGAACTCCACATATTTTCTTGTGCACATGGATCTAGGCTGAATCCATGGTGGCAGAATGGAAGGAGTTCCTTTGGGATGTCCCAGAAGAGAGGGTTGCTTTGTGGGGCCACTGTCAAACACTTTTTATCAGATACTCCTTCCCAGCATCACAGGTTTGTTTATTTATTTATTTACACGTACTAGATGCGTAAGTTAGCATTGTCCTTTCCACTATTTTGAAGTCATTGCATCTTCGCTTTTGCTCTGTCTTTATTTCTTCTCTTGGATTAGTAGAAACAAAGCACCTGCTGTTTTACACAAATTTTTTCGTCTTCAGCCAATTTGATTTTCTACTGTTGCTCTGTAGGCAGGGTTATTTTTCCTCAAACATGCAGAGGCAGCAGAGAAAGATCTCCCAGCAAGAGAGCTTCATGGACTATTGCTGCTTTCTTTGCAATGGTTGAGTGGAACAATAACTCGGTCTAATCAGTAAGTGTCTGTAAGGAACAACTTATGCTACATACCTTGCATAAAATCATATTCTGACTGACTAATTTTACAGGGCATGTCCTCTAAACCTTCTGCGAGAGATTGAGACTAAAGTGTGGCTTCTAGCTGTAGAGTCAGAAGCTCAGGTGAAAAGTGAGGGGGATTTTCCCCAGAGCAATTGTGGTAGGGAACTTGGGATTGGGAAGAGCTCCAGCATTATGGATCATACTGCAGACATCATCACAAAGATTGACAATCATTTGAATTCAATGAAAATGAAAAGTGTAGACAGAAGTGACTTCAGGGAGAATAATCAGACACAATTAAAGACCCATCAAGCATTAGTAGACGACTTTATGGCTTCCACCGGAGGGAACAGCAAGGCAAAAAGGAGAGCCAAGGGCTTTGTGCAATCAAGACGGCCTTTAAATGATGCAGTGGATAAAAGCAATGAGTTTGAAAGTGTCTTCTTCTCCCAGAGTCACAGAGATGATTCACAATTAGTGGATGACAACTTTAAATTTGAAGCATCCCTTTCAAGGTGGGAGGAAGGAGTTGGACCTGCAGAGCTGGAAAGAGCCGTTCTTTCATTGTTGGAGTTTGGACAAATTGCAGCTGCCCGACAGCTGCAACATAAGTTGTCTCCAGGTCAAATTCCATATGAATTTGTTGTCTTGGATGCTGCTTTGAAGCTGGCTGCTCTCTCAACTCCAAACAACAAAATGTCTGTCTTGCTATTGGATGATGAAGTGCGCTCTGTGATACAGTCTAACAATTTCGTGGCTAATCATCATGTGATTGAGCCACTTCAGGTACTGCATAATTTTGTTTTCCACTTTTCAATTTATGTTATTCAATGGCTTTAGACAATACTTAAATTCTAGTTACTTCAATTTAAGTTGTTTGCATAGGACAATTTTTTAATGCTAATAAAAATTATCTGAGGTAGGTATTGGAGGGTCTAGCAGCCATACTTGCTGAAGGCCGTGGGCGAGGAGTTTGTAAGAGAATTGTGGCTGTTGTAAAGGCTGGAAATGTTTTAGGTCTGCCATTTTCAGAAGCATTTGATAAGCAGCCAATTGAACTATTGCAGCTTCTTACTCTCAAAGCACAAGATTCATTTGAAGAAGCAAATCTCCTTGTGCAAACGCATTCTATGCCAGCTTCTAGTATTGCTCATGTTCTTGCAGAATCCTTTTTAAAGGTCTGTGTGCTTTTTATGGATTGTCCTTCTTAGTGTGTAGATGTTCAATTAACATCCTAGAATAGATCTTTGGCATCTGCTAAGGGCTATGTGACTGCTTTGTCTTGGTTTGGTTGAAATAAGTCTGAACAGGGATTTTGGAAGTTGAACTTTAATTTTATAATTATTTACTGATCCTTTGTCAAGTTATTTTTGTTTTTGGTGGAAGTTTATGATGTCTGGCACTTTTATTGAAAAGTCTATTTATGTTTGTTGTTCAATTAGGGCTTATTAGCTGCACATCGTGGTGGATACATGGATTCCCAGAAGGAGGAAGGACCTGCTCCTTTGTTGTGGAGATTTTCAGACTTCTTGAAGTGGGCCGAGCTTTGTCCCTCAGAACCAGAAATTGGCCATGCGTTGATGCGTTTGGTGATCACTGGGCAAGAAATACCACATGCCTGTGAGGTAGTATGGCAACTGTTTGTCTTTTCTTCTTTTACCTCAGTATCCCTTGTATCTAATTAAATTGCTTAAAACTGAAAGATTAGGGATTGTGCTGGTTGCAAATTGAATTTGTAATAATTGGCAAAATCTGATGTGGGGCAATAAGGAACATTCCTAGTCCTAGTTCACTAACATTTTGGTTTTCAAAGTGTATATAATGACTAACAAGATGGATGGTGTCTTGGTAATGTTTTACTTTGCATTCAATAGAATAGTTCCTAGTCCTAGTGCACTAAAATTTTGGTTTTCAAAGTGTGTATAATGACTAACAAGATGGATGGTGTCTTGCTAAGGTTTTACTTTACGTTTAATAGAATAGTTGGGGTCTGGGTCATACGTGGAAGTTTTTAGCCAAGTATAGTGACACGGAAACTTTATTCATCCTCAGCTCTGGTCTTTTAATGGTTTCCTCTTTTTTTTTTTGGCATGCAAATTGTTGTTATTTTTAGCTTCTTCTGCATAAACAATATAAAAATTCCCTTTAGATTTGTGAGCTTAATTTTGGATGATAATCTGATATGCAATAACCACCTGCAGTCTAAAAATGAAATACTGTGTTATCTTTGGATGTTGATGTTTTCCCTTCTAAATTACCTTTTAATTAGTCAAATTCTCTTTCGCCTCCTTATTTGTTTCCTTATTTTCTCATTCTGAAATGTTCAGTTAGTTTAGTATTGATAGGAATACTATTGAGCGCATAAATTCATTTGAAGTTGGAGGACTGTTGCAACTAAACTTTGGCATGTTGGAGCTTTGCTTTGTGAAACTTGATGGCCTATGGTCTAAGCTGCCAAGATACAATCATCAATTTTGCGACTAGATATAAGGATGTAATATTTGTTTCATTGGTTATGGATTGAATTAACAAGGTGTGATCATCCGAATAAAATCATCGCAATTAGCGCGTTAACCTCTTTTTTTAAGTTATGGTGAATGGAAGATCTACATCCTTATTGAACAACTTGTTGGCACTGTTTCTTTATTGAATTATTTGTGCGGTGTCCTCTCAGTCAAGTTTCAGGTGATTTAAATGGTGTTTTTTCCATGCTTGGCTTGAGCCTCTTTTCATTCTCTACTTTCACCCTTCCTCATTTTATGGAAGTCAGTAGTATTTGACCAAGTTATTTGTCTATTTTGGGTGTGAAAAAGAGGAGAAACTGAACGTCATATATTTCACATCAATTCTTCCCTTATAAGAAGCATGTTAGAATCCTGCTTTTCTCCTACACAACTGGAAAAAAAAAGATTTTTTTTTTGCCCATGGGGGCGGGGATGCCTGGCCAAGGGGTTGTTAGTGTTGTTTGTTGAATAATAATCACCTCATTCCTCAAATGTTCTTTCAGCTGTATTTACAAGATAGATAAATGTAGAAAAAGAGAGTACCTTTTCCATGTTCCTCCTTTTGCTAAGCTTTGAATTCTATTTAGATTGTTATTGACATCTTTGTCAATATGTTTCTGTTACCATAAATCCTGTTACTGTTCTTATTGCTGGGCCTGTAGACAGTATGTCTAATATTTAATACATGAAGAACTAGCACTCCATAGACTTTGCTGAAGTGCAGCACAGGAGTAGGTAATTTGCTGAGAAATTACTGAGTGTCAACATGCTTCAAAGATTCTGTCAGATTGTCAGTAAATTGTGAAGTTCATATTTAAACAGGAAAGAAATGGACTTAAAGATAAGTCTTCACCACAAAGTACAGCACTTGTAGTTTGACAAATAATCAAAAGTTCATAGTTAATTTTCTAAAAGCTTGAATTCTTTGACTTGTTTCTTGTAAGTGACCTTGAAGGTATTAAGTGTACCTTACTTTGAGATTGATGAAGAAAAAAATTTTAAAAAGGGTTCCTATGCCGGAGGTCAACATTTAATTATTTGGAACTGATTTTTCAGGTTGAGCTTCTGATACTGTCCCACCACTTCTACAAGTCATCGGCATGCCTGGATGGTGTTGATGTTCTTGTAGCTCTTGCAGCAACCAGGGTAGAAGCTTATGTATCTGAGGGTGATTTCACGTGCTTGGCTCGTTTAATAACTGGAGTCGGAAATTTCCATGCGCTGAATTTCATACTCGGAATCCTTATTGAAAATGGTCAACTTGATCTTCTTCTTCAAAAGTATTCTGCTGCTGCAGATGCAAATACAGGCACTGCTGAAGCAGTTAGAGGATTTCGTATGGCTGTTCTTACATCACTCCAGCAATTCAACCCCCATGATCTAGATGCATTTGCCATGGTAATTATTTATAATCTTCTTAAAGATGAGCTAATTATTAGCATAAAGTAAATTGCAGTTTCTGTTGTTTCATTGCAATTGTTGGTTTAGCTTCTCTCCCTCTCCATTTCATTTCTTCACCAATTGAAAACATCTGATTCTCCATTTCTTGCTTGGTACATCTGAAAAGCTTATCCTGTGCAGTTCCTACTTACTTCGTGCTTGATATCCTGTTCCCGGCTTTCTTTCAGGTTTATAATCACTTTGACATGAAGCACGAAACTGCTGCTCTCCTTGAGTCACGTGCAGAGCAATCTTCTCATCAATGGTTCCTCCGTTATGACAAAGATCAGACTGATGATCTACTGGAATCTATGCGGTATTTTATTGAAGCTGCTGAAGTTCACTCCTCCATTGATGCTGGCAATAAAACACGCAAAGCTTGCGCTCAGGCATCACTCCTCTCTCTTCAGATTCGAATGCCAGATTTGCAATGGCTCAATCTTTCTGAAACTAATGCACGAAGAGCACTAGTTGAGCAATCTCGTTTCCAAGAGGCACTAGTCGTTGCTGAAGCCTATGGTCTTAACCAGCCAAGCGAGTGGGCCCTGGTGCTTTGGAACCAAATGCTCAAACCAGAACTCACTGAACAGTTTATGGCCGAGTTTGTTGCTGTACTCCCTCTCCAGCCCTCAATGCTTGTTGAGCTTGCAAGATTTTATAGGGCTGAGGTTGCTGCCAGGTGGGACCAATCCCAGTTTTCCGTGTGGCTGACTGGCGGAGGGCTGCCAGCTGAGTGGGCGAAGTACCTTGGTAGGTCATTCAGATGTTTGCTGAAAAGGACTAGGGACTTGAGGTTGCGGCTGCAGTTGGCTACGACAGCCACCGGGTTTATTGATGTTATTGATTCATGTAACAATGCGTTGGATAAGGTTCCTGAAAATGCTGGGCCACTTGTCTTGAGGAAAGGGCATGGAGGAGCTTATCTCCCTTTGATGTGAAAATTTGGGCATGAATCACTTGAAATTGGATCCTTGAGATCTTGAACACGATTTTAGCGGTGCTGCATTATGATATCATCACGACAGATCTCCTGCAATTCTCTGTGAACAGCACCAAGCAAAGCATGCCAAGAAATCAACATCATGTACTAACAATGAGTTTGGAGTTTTCTCCAAGATAGCCAAGTAGAAGCAGCATCAATCCTTGATGAAGACTAGGCAGGTTGTTTTTTTTACAGAAATCTTGTGAATATAATGCAGTTTCGGCATCATTTAAAAAAAAAAAAAAAACTTTTCCCCCAACTTTTTCATACTGGGGCGAGCTGATTTGAGTGTACGAGTGAAATTTTGGCCTGTAAGAAATGTACATGATGAGAACTGTACAATATGTACATAGATATTTGAAGTGAAATTTATCTGAATTGGCTGGTTTTTCTTGAGGTACTCGAGGCATAATTATCAGTTAAGAGGCCATATTTTTGTTTGATTGAAACAAATTGAGATTGAAGTGTACAATTTGCTCCATTATCAGTTAGAAGAATAGCAATATGGATTTTGAGAGTAGTTTGATGAGGTAATTAACGTCTAACCTGGACTATAATGGTACCAGGTTCTGCGCTATGGAAATCTGGATACAGCAACGCATTCCACCACAACAGTTCATGTTAGTTTCACATGAATTTTGCTGCCATAAAAGGATTTTTCCTTTAAATGAGATAAAGAAATTATTTGTTTCTTAGATTCAATATGAACAAAGAATTACCACATTCAAAAAATTAAAAAGAACAGCAAGAGAATTAGGACAAAATCGATTGGCGTAAAGTTCAAATAAAATTTCTTGTTAAGAACTTCGGTTATATTTCTCTGTTTATGAACTTTCGATCCAAAAACAAGCAGGGGACCCTAACGCATTGCAACAAAAATTAACCTTTCACTCCTGCTTTTTGTCCAGAGATTTATCACTAGTGTTATGCCTCTGGGATAGAAAACGCTTCGCGCTCTCAAGAACACCAAAGAATATTGAACCACCAATGCCTATCCACAACACTCTTGGCCCGAAGCCCTGCAAGGATTTAAAGTTAAGAGCAACAATTAATTACCATATTTCATATGCCAGGCTTCCCATTTAACAACAAGAACTACACTTCTATCCACTGGCACAAACACTCGTACCTTTAAAAGAGCAGGAGGCCCTTCTTCCCTTACTATAGCCTGCACGCAATCAAATACGCCTCGATACTGGTTCGTTGATCCCTGTAGAGCATGCAGATTAACATATCATACCAGCAAACGGAACAAATTCATTATGCAGGTAACCCGACTGAACATTCCCTCGATGTTCATGAAGAAGAGAACGGTTGAGCAAGAGAGAAAATAACAAAACATACACTTATAAACGAACCTGGACCATTAACCTTGTCTTGATCACGTCCAATGGTGTAGTTATAGCTCCAGTTAGGGCGCCTACATATATATATATATATATATATATATATATTAGTGTACATAATTAGGTGGTAATCTTCATTGCAGAATGTAATGTCGAGCACTAAGCAAATAATTCTAGGCAACCAGAAATCCAAGAACAGTCTTTACATTTTGTGCATTAATCACAAAAATGACTATACCGGTACAATCTTCTACTAATTTCAAATTCTCCAGCAGGAGAAAAACTATTTCTTGGGTAACAAATTGAGTTCGTATTCTGCAAAGTGCACACCAAGACGCATCTAAATACAAGAGATCCAGAAGCAGGCTATTAGGAAATGAAATTACCAGCAAAAGCACCAATTGCAGCATTCTCAGGATCATTCAAATCCCTCTTTGCCTGGTCAAAAGCACACCACAGAAAAGGTGTTTACAGAAGCAGTATTGTTTAAAAACACAACTCAGACCAAATTATGAGCGTCTTGGTATCAAGAAATTTGTTTAGTTATCATTTAGTTAAACCACAAAGCAAACTCATAAGGTGCACTATATATGATTAAACATGGAAAAAGAGAAACAGCTTAACAACATAGCATGACATAGTTTATCAATTGCACATTAGATTAAGAGATAAACAAGAACAAGCAGGAAAAATCAGCTAATATATTTTTGTGCGGGAAGCACTATAGAGGTGAATTCATCCTCATCCGATAAGCAAAACAATTCATCAAGTCTCTTTCTGTATAAAGTAACTTACTGCCATCTTGTAGCCTATTCGAAGCTGTTCATAGATGCAGAACTGGATTGCATCAAATGGCAAATCTCTCAGTAAAAATGATTTATATCCCTACAAGTTCAGGATATAAAAGTTAAAAACCCATGCAGAAGAGTAAGAAGAAAAACCCGTCCTAAAACACTACTATTGTCAAAGATTAAAGCTTCTGAGAATTATACACAACGTATATCTGCATAGAGTACCTAATCACAGCTTAGCAATCCTCTAGATATATAAAAACATCATTAATCATTGGAAAAGGGATGGAATGAACATCTCAACACTATATGGTTGTAAGGAAAATTGATTTTCCTCTGAAGTATTGGATAGAGCAGGTATATTACCGCATAAAGACCTCTAAAACCTTCCTTGGAAATGATTAAACGAACAGCATCAGGTGGAGAAGCAAATTGTCTAGTCTGCATTCGTTGCTTGACAACCTACACTTTCAAGATACAAAGAAAATTTACCAACGCAAAATGAAAATGAAAATTTAAGGCTATGCACGAACAGCAAGAAAACGAATATAAACTCATGTACCTCTGTTGGAACACGAATAAGAGAAGCTGCAATACCTCCAATGGCCCCAGCTGTCTACACATTTAGCACCTCATAAACAAACCGGGGAAAAGGCTACAACACAATCACCTCGAGCATAAAATGTCATCCAAACAGTTATCAAACTTATAGGGACTCAGCTAATATCCAAAATTCAGGTGACACAATCCACTTCATTTCACAAAGCAAGTTTTGGTCTCAATCAACAGTTATCAGGAATTTCAAAAGAAAAAACACGTTAATGGGAATATTGTTGTTGAGTAATGTAGGTCAAAGGTATAAGTCATTCTGACATTTGTAGATGCCAATTAGGTCCAATGCCACAACCACCATGCCAAACAAAATGAACTCAAAAAGTTTCATAGGTCAAGTGATAAAGCGACAAACAAAGTTTGGGCCAAGGGACACTCCAACTTTTGGGTTCTCCAGACAAGTAGTAGAAACGCCTTGAACCAAAAGTAAGAATCTTTCTACTATGAACTAGGATAAAAAGATTGCAGAAGAACACAATGAGCTTAATTAGGCTACCAGAAGAAATCTATGTAAAAAGATAAGGCCTTTGTTCTGAAGTACAGTGGTGCACCTACAGATCAGAATTGCTAAAATTACAAAATATCCGACTGAAGTTATCTGGCACATTTATCAGGTATTATGGCACCATTTGAAATAACACTTACTAAATTTTCTCAGGAATCGAAATTTGTTACACAACCCTTTACAGCCTATATTTTACATGAAATTTATCAATTCAAGTCCTTTCTTTGTAGGTTAAACATCTGCATTTAAAGGTTATATTAATGACCAGAGCTGTTTCAAGATCAATAAAAAGTGCCACAAGATATAAGCCTTACCAGATGAGCAACTGCACTGAACTTTTCAGGGAAAAGCTTCAGCAATTTTTGCTTTGTGGGTTCATATACACCAACAAAAACAGCAGATGCCCTGTAGATACAACAAGTGTGTAAAGTAGCGGTGGCATCCATAGATCCATTAATTGTTAAAATCAAATCTGAACAAACAAAAAATTGCAAAAGCAAAAGTTCATCCGTAAAAATTAAGGATGGGGCCACTGGCCAAGATTTCATCCGTTCAACATACAAAATGTTATTAGCTATTTGATTAGCAAGTGCAATACCATATAATACAAAAATTATCAAGTCATGGAATTTTATAAGAACTTACGGCAGGACTCCAGCAAGGTTACCAGTCAATCCAGAATACAGGCCTCTAAGATTTATTTTTCCTCCTCCTTGAGCAGCCTACACGTATCATTATTAACAGAAATCATAACATGATATTGACAGTAAACATAGGGAGCACTTTGTCCCAAGAATTTGAATCCTAATGGAAGAAATCATATTCGAAAATCTCACTTTCTTTTTTCCTCACAATAGGGCCTACGCAACATAAAGTATTAACGAACAAGTATTTTCTGTTTCTGTTACACATTAACATGGACTTTTACCTGTTTCAATATGTAACACACAAAATTTATAACTGAGGAACTTTCTTCTGCTACTACAGATTGGATAATACAGAAAAAAGAGGGAGAGAAAAAGAAACCAAACATCTCTCATTAGTACAATGAACAAATCAGCCCAAAAGTTTGCAGCATATATCACAATAGACCAAGAAACAAGATGTTTCCCTAGTTAATTTTCATCAGCTAAGCAGTCTAATCAATGTTTTAGAAGCGGTCAAATATAAATGCATTTTACCATATATTACTCCTTCACCCCCAACCAAACAAATTCTTAAGCTAAGATATCACAATTTTCAATTTGTTCCTTCCAAAGAAAATAACTGTCATCAAATCTCTTCACAAACATCTAAATCTTAGATTAGTACTGCAGCAAGAACTGCAAGTCAGAAAACATAATGTACATCTAAGCTAAGAGTGCAAGGCATCTGCTTATGACACTATGAGAAACTATGATCATTTGTTTTCCATCTTAATTTGGATCCGCTTAAGTGCTTCAAATAGTTCACCTGCCTGCAACCGAGTCTTTATAGTATCAATAGGGTACAACGCAGTCTCAACAACAACGCCTGCTGTGCCTCCTGCTATAACACCATCTGCACAAATTTCTGTGGTATCAGAAGTGCAGTAGTTTAAAAAATTCAGCTTAAATGCATCAAAGGAGAAAGTTTATATGAACAGGAAAAAGATAAAGAAGTAGCCAATTTTTATAAAAAAAATTGGTTGTGATTAGCTCCTAAAAAGTATTGCAAAAGGCAACAATTTTCACAGATGCATTGCGTTAAACTTTAAAGCTCCATACAAAAGGAAAGGGGATATTGGCTAATAATATATTGTGAGAAAAATCTGTGAGTTGAATTCCCAGAACACATCATTATCAATCTTTTTTATCACCCTTATTTCAAGAAAATATAAATGGAAAAATAAAATGCTGTTTCTCACCCATCGTACATAGAGTCCAGTTAAGTGATATGTTAAGACACTCATTTGGGGTGGAGTGCAGGGATATTAATAATGATTTGGATGCCACATTTTCATTCCTAGAAAGCTTTTATCCAAAGACACAAAATTCAAAGGATTCATCTGCAGTAATAACATGACACCTATTGATTCGCCCAAGTTGGCCAATCCTGCTCTATTAACAACTAAATAGCATTTTATCTAACTTTCTTCTCAATAAATTGGGGCCATTCGAGAAGTTTC